ACATATTACACAGATGCAGAGAAAAAAAATGCAAATACATATAGAATGAATATACAGTATATCCTCCTTGATAACTCCAACAAAAAGGTAAAGGTTTCCCCTTGGTTGACTGAAGGGGGCGGTGCTCATCTTCGATTCTCAGCAAAGGGAGCCTGCGTTCTCTGAGAAATGTTTCCCTCAGCATGTGGCCACTATGAATGTACAGAATGCAGTAATCTTTCCGCCAAAGTGGTACCTATCTATCTACTCGCATTTGCATCCTTTCGAATTGCTAGATTGGCAGGATCTGGGACGAGTAATGGGTCTCAAATCCAGGCTGTCGGCTTTCCAGCTGACAAGCTCAGCGTCTCAACCGCTGAACCATCACACCCCCTTAAGACCATCATACCCACACTCAAACAGAGGCAACACATGTTGACCCTAAGACTGGGCCAACAAATGCAACACTTTTATCACAAAGAATGAACTACAGATCCCTTTCCCTGTTTCCCCTATCTTGTTATTCTTTCCAATGCAAAAGAATGTTGGAAAGAAATTATATAAACAGGATTTGGAGGCCGTCTGTCTCTGTGACTGTCTGTCCATCAGCAGAATTACAGTCCAGAATTGGACCAAACCAGAAAAGAAAGAAAATGAAAATGAGCCAGATTGAACTAGGTGCTGCAGAGAGAGATAGAGATAGAGATAGAGATAGAGATAGAGATAGAGATAGAGATAGAGATAGAGATAGATGGATGGATGGATGGATGGATAGATAGATAGATAGATAGATAGATAGATAGATAGATAGATAGATAGATAGATAGATAGATAGATAGATAGATAGCGCCAAAAGAAACCAACCCAAAACTTTTGTAGTGCCTCTTTTGGGGAGAGAGAATAAGGTAGAAAACTGAAATGTTGCCAGTTTTTTCATTCTAAACCCCGCCTTTTTCTTGGTCACATGTCCCAGAATAGAGCTACTTTAAGGGGTTGGAGAGACTTCCAGAAGCTGAGCTCTGTATTCCCTAACTGGTCATATTCTAAAAGTGCTAGAAACTGGTGGGTTTGCCTGACAGCTTTTCTATTTAATTTTGGTTAATTAAAAGAATCATTAAAAATAATAATAATAATCAGGTGAGCCAGAGAACTAAGCTAGTATCAAGAGAAAGGGAGATCTGAAGGAAAGTCATTACAGGTGTCAATAAGCAGGGGTAGGCAACCTTGGCTCTTTTATGACTCGTGGACTTCAACTCCCAGAATTCCTGAGCCACCATGGCTCAGCTTGGAAACCTCTCCCTTTTCCCTCAGCATAGCTGGCTCAGGAATTCTGGGAGTTGAAGTCCACGAGTCATAAAAGAGCCAAGGTTGCCTACCCCTGGTTCTAAACCAACCTTCTCCAAGCTAAAAATGTTGTTCTTTCCAATATAAGTTGTCAATACTGGCATAGTAACACGACCCAGGGATGATGAAAGCCCAAGGAGCAGAAGGTTGCTCCAAAGGGAGCCATTTGCAACAAATTAAAATACTCCGAGAGACCCTTTATTGAAGTAGTTTTTGTCATCTCTGTATACTTGTATATATGCATGTATCTATGATGCTATTTTGTTCTGTCCCAGGAGATAAATGTTTAGGAGGTTCAGTCTCTTTTTCCCACAAATGTATTTCATTGAAGGAAGGAAGAATTCATCTTTAGCTTAGGTAAAGTTCCTCTTTAAAATAGAATTTATGTGTAAATATCAATAAAAGAATAAAAGTGTAGGATGGGACTTCAAAAAGAACAGAATGAACTTTAAAAAAAAAAAGTTGGCCTTTCTTCCCTACTCCAGATATTAGGTCTTATTCCTGATTATATTTACATCTTTTGAATTTTGCAACCATTTTATCACAGAGGAGTAAGCAAGGAGAAAACCAAAAGTTTGATGCAGATACTGGAGATGCTATGTCAGCTGTGTTGCCTCTCACCTACTTCTTGATTATCTGGTCTCTCAGAT